AGAATGCCAATTTAAGAGAAGAAAGTATTCTTGCATTGAGGGAGTACTTGCATGGAGGCCCAATGTCCTTCTGCTACCTTAATACTAAACCTATACTTATATGCACATAGATCTATTTCCATATCCTCATACATAAATATATTTACAGATGTACATACCTTTATTTAGACCTCTATAAATGCCCTTTGCCCCCTCTTTCCTCTATTTCCTTTTACTTTCGTCTTGTCCCACTATCATGTTCAGCCTTCATTTGGGTTTCAGTAATTCCTCTCGGTTACCTTACCCTTGGTCACACCCTACCAGGCTTTGCTTGGGTTTTTTTAATACAAAAACTTGCTTTACATCTTCATGTGACTTCTTTGCCAGGTTCTGTTCTTCTTGAAAGTGTCTTCTTTCTAGTTTTCCAGCACATGCCCTCCTGGTTTCCTCTCTACATCTTTGGCGAGTGTTCATAAGTCTCTCCTTAGGCCACTACTTCGTTTTGTTGTCCTTTGGATTGTCTCGTTCTAGACTCTCTCCTTGCCTCTGTCTTTTTGTTCTTCACACTATTGCTTGGTGATTTCATCTAAATTCAGATTCAACAATTACTGGTACAATTTTTCAAAGTAGACCTACTTTTGTAGCTAATACATGTTCCCTCACTAGTTTCATTTCTGACTCTTTCTGGACAGCTTCTCTTCCGTACTTCTCAGGCAGATCCAAAATAGAAAAATTTCCCCTGCACAGCAATCTTTTTTTCCCCCATCGTCTTCCTGAAATTTAATAATGTTGTTGTTGAGAACATACACAGTAACACATACACCAATTCACCAGTTTCTACATATTCAGTTATTTGACATTGATTGCAGTCTTGGAATTATGCAACCATTCTTGAACTCCTTTTCCAAGTTGTCCCTCCCTTATTAACATAAACTCCTTGCTCTCCTAGTTTCCTACCTAATCTTTCAGGTTGTTGCCAATGTGTTCCCATGTAGGTAGTTCTTAAAAAAGCCCAAGGCTGAAAACATACCTTTTCTACTATTTAAATCAGACTATTATTTGGTTTAAAGAAGATTTCAGGGGATGAGATATAATCAACTAATATGGCCCTTCTAGTCTTAATTCCATATGCAATGTATTATAATTCTGGACTCAATGTCTATGGCTATAATCACATTTTGAGAATGCCAATGGAGCGAATTAAGGTGGGGTTGTGTATTTCATTTAGCAGAGTGTGAGAACCGGGTCAAATCCTTTGTTTCCTTAGTGGTATGGCCTGCTGAAAGATAAAATCCACATCTCAAAGCCATTCCTTTCTGCGTAAGAGCCATTTTGGAGAAAGTGAGACATCTCAATGCCATCAGAAGAAGAGCAAGTTCAAGATCTTGGCGGAGGCCAAGACCGGAAGCACCAGTCTGTGGCACAGAGATTATCTAGGGCAGAACAAAGAAAGCACGCCAAGACCAATGGCTGAGGCAAGGAAACCATGAGGCAGAGTATCCGAGAGGAGACTGCGCAGAGCTGTGAGGCAGCAACAGGCAGGCTTCCTGGTCCACAGAGGCAGAAGCCAAGGAACTTCGAGGTTAAAAGGCTAACTGCCAAAGAGAGACTCTGCTACTGGCTGAGGAGAGGTGTTGCTGTGGACCAAGGACTGTATCTTTACTGTTTACTGATCCTGACTTGTGGTCACCTATTGACCTCTTGGATAAAGCACCTTAATTATCTGTGAGTTTTACGTCACCATTACAATGAAGAATTGACCCCAGACTAGTGGCAAGAGTGCAGAGGGAGTCACTTCAGAATAGGTAAAAGAAGAAAGGAATGTGGAGGTACATCTGACCTCCTGGCAACAAGGACCCTAGGGGAGTTCAGATATGGCCACCCCCAGCCTTCAAGTGATTTTACTGCAGGGCATATTTGTTTAATTTAAGGTTTAATGATTATCTCAGGGCAACAGTTTCAGGGATTCATCCACTTCCATGGCTTCAGAAATTCTAAAATCCATGAGATTTTGTAATTTTTTCTATATTTTCCCAATTTTGGTTAAGATTGTTCAACATAATCCTGGTCTCTCCTGACAACCTGTCCAATGTACATGAGACAAAGCCTCACTGTCTTGCTCTAAGGAGTTCCCTAGATTAATTAATGGCGTTACTTAATTATAAGGGAGTATGTCTCTAACACATTTACTCTATGATTTTCAGAATGCAAGCAAACAAAATAAGGATACAAGCCAAAGATTTAAGAAAGGATGTTTTAGAACACCTCAGGGAGAATTCCAGACGTTGACTTAATATTTTTCTGAAATTTTAAAATTCATCAAGACCTTCATGTCAGAGTTGGCGCCTCCATAAAGCTAAGTTTCCTAGTAAAGATTCTCGAGCTCCTGAATTGGAGCTTTGTAGACAGGGCCGGAGGAAAGGTCGTGCACTGCTCACCGTTTACCGCTTCCACCCCACCATCCCACCATCCCAAGCTCCATTTTAAAAGCTGAGTTAGCATCCCTTTACCAGAGGTTTGTTTTTTATAAAATGTGCCTGTTGGGTTAAATGTTAACTTCCACTCTCTCTTGCATATCGTTTTGCTAATTATGAAGATAGGCTTTCATTGGCATTCAAATCTAAAGGGCAGCTTTTGCTTCCTGTGAAACGCACTTAACTGCAGTTGGGAAAGAGGAAAAGCTCTCTATAAGATAAACAGGTTCTCAACAAGTGTCCCAAGATGGTATTTCTACTAACTGTCCTCCAGAGAAACTGAGTCCAGAAGCACTCTGAACTTGGTACATGCAAGCAAACATTAAAAGCACTGAGTCTAAACAACATGTTGGACATAGAGGCAAAATACAGGAGAGTCTTCCAATTACCTTTTCTTAAAGTACTGGTAGCTTCTTCAGTTAGCCATGGTTCCCAAAGGGTGGCTACTGCATTGTACACTTTGTTGGTGATGATGGGCAGTTGATCCTGTCCACAAACAACAGAAAACACCCTTTAAATGCTACAAGACATATGTATGAGCCTTACTTGCACATTTATTAATTCATCAGACTCTGGCGATACTAGGATGAATACCGGATAGACTTAGTCTTCAGGGCATTTATAACGTCACTGGGAAAGGAAAAGCGTGGTCAACAATATGCGTGCTGGGTGCTACCACGGAGTGCTGGAGGTGGAGAAATAAGAAGAATCCATTCTTCCAAAATTGTCAGGGCAGCACTCAAGGTAATTGAACAAGACCTGGATTATGATTTCACCAGGTTGACGAGGGATTGCAGCAGAGAAAAAGTAACACTGCCAAGACACAGACCTGGAGGCATGCAAGTGTTTGACCAAAAATAGAGACTAACACAAGTTTTTGCGTCTCAAGGCATAAAATGTGGGTATGAGTATGCTTATGAGAGAGACAATGAAAGCAGGCAGGTTTCAGCCTGAATGTGTAGGGTCTGGTTTAGGATTCCACGGAAATAGGGAAATGGCATGGTTTTAGAATTAACATTTAAACTATCATAAAGCTCCTTAACTTCCTCAGTGAGAGATTAAATACGCACATGTTTTTGATTTGAAGGTTTCTTTTATGTCAGTCTAAATTCTATCATATTTTGAGTTTTTAAAATAAATCATTTTAGAGAGACGCTCTCTTCTCCCTTCCCATCCTCCTGCTCTCTGTGTGGACCTGCCTGCTGAGATCATGGCCATCCCAGAGGCTCACAATCAGTACACATGGAAGCAGCAATCAAAAGATCAATGACACATTGAGTTCGGTAAATCTACTGCACAAGACCTCCATAATGTGTTGAAATGCAAGGATGTTACTTTGAGGATTCCTGTGCTCCTGTCCAAAGCCAAGGCACCTTCAATTGCCTTATGTACATTTGAAAGTGGAACAATGAATAAGGAAGAATGAAGAAGAATCAATGCATTTGAATTAAAGAGCTGACAGCGAATATTGAAAGCACCACTGACTGCCAGTAGAACAACAAACAATCTATTTTGGATGAAGTACAGCCAGAATGCTCCTTAGAAGAAAGGATGATTAGACTTTTTCTCATGTCCTTTGGACATGTCCTGAGAGATTGGCCACTGGAAAGTGACATTATTCTTGGTAAAATAGAGGGACAACAGCAACAAAAAGGAAGTTCTTTGACAAGATGGATTGACACCGTGACTGCAACAGAGATGGCGCAGGTGAAATGGGTGCAGAGCCGGGCGTGTTTCCTTCTGTTGTCTGTCGGGGACTATGAGTGGGCACCAACTCAAGGGTCCTTAACAACGACAGTCACAATAGCAATATCGTTATCTCATTCTCTAAGAGACTACTCCAGATAAATTCTAAAAGACTAGATTCATATATTAAAAGTATGCCATACATTAAAAATACATTTCATTTATTTGTTTTTTGGAATATTGTTAGATTATCTGGTAGATTTTAGTATATTGCTTCTTTATTTCTTTATGATCACTTCTTTCATTTTTAATTTAAGTTTCTGCACAGAAGTGATAGATATTTATTACTTTGGCTCAAAATTAAGATGAGAATATTGAAGATGTGGCTTACAAACAGAAGTCCATGTTTCTCCATTTTGCATGCCATCTACCTTTTCTGACTGCTTGTGTAAGGAGATTATGCCCGGGACAAGACTTCTCTGAGTGAACATTCTCGGTGTTTATACTTACTGTGCAGAGACTATAGTGTGGTGAGGTAAAGCCTGGGACTAGTGAAACTGTTATGTCTCTTTTCACTGAAAATTGGACAAAGGTAAATAGGCGTGCAATAGCAAGTTATTCATGTTGCAGCCATTTTTCCCCCCAAAGGAATCATGCCTCCAGTAGTAAGTTCTGAATCAAACTGAAGGTACTTCAGGTTAATGCCGCTGACCATCAGGGAAGACTGAGAATTGAGAGTGTGTGCCCAACAATCTTCCATCCTAATAGATCCGTGCTCTCTTCACTTGACCTTTGATTGCCTGACATTATGGGCTGCAGTGTAGTAGAACAGCGTGCAACGCCCTAGACCGGGGGTCCTCAAACTTTTTAAACAGGGGGCCAGTTCACTGTCCCTCAGACCCATTGGAGGGCTGGACTATAGTTT